AATAATTTTAAAACTTCTTTATATTAGCTATATTAGTGGACATCTACATTTTACATTTATATATACACACATGCAAATGTACTCATGTAGCTAACATACTTGTTTATGTACAACCTCCTGTCTACCTTTTTCTGAGTGATTTTGGTATTAATTTACCTATGCATGTTTGTGTATCCCAGGAGATAAAGGGAATGTGTGAGTTGGAGGTTGAAATTCAAACACTGATTGAAGGCAATGCATCCTAAACACAAACATGGCTTAAAGATGGAGTTCTAGCTGGTCATGAATATCTGATTTGTGATTTCCTATAGTTCCCACTCTAAAGGTAAATAAAATAAATGTTTAACCACCAAAAGACTAATATATAAACTTTAACAATGAGGGACCAAAATTATAAGTTAAAAAGTTAAAAGAAAAAAGAAAGAAAGCAAAAGAAAGGGAGAAGGTACATTATGTTAAAAGTATTCCTTTATTTTCCAAACAACGTCTCACATCAGGCTTTAGCCCTATTTAGTGGTGGACTTCATCCAGTTATTTAAATACATTCTTTAGCATAATTATCATTAGTCCATTAATATTTTCATATTGTATGAAGTTGAGCACTGGGATAATAAATTTGAGTAATAAAACCTTATTAAAATATTAAATTGCAGTTAAATGAAAGAATATTTTCGCTGATGCCAGTTAGTTGAAATTGCCCATAACACATGTGTAAATCAGTCTAATGATGCTTCAGACCACAGTCACTGCATCCAAACTGTTCTGTACAGTAGTTTCCAAAAGACTTTGCTTCCAACCTAGACACAACTTCATCTCCAGTAATAATAAAAAGTCTAAGTAAGCACAGATATAATATTTACAGGACACAAGTAACCAAATGAATAAGGTAAATAAATGGATGGAATCAAACAAAAACGTCTGCATCTCACTGTGTGTCGCTCTCCCCACCACATAAACTCGGCAGGAACTTTTCAAGGTAAAGTCACTCTGCCAGGAAGAGGGTTAACCGGTTCCCACCTAACCTGAGACCCCTCCTGAGAGCCGGCAGGCTTCGCCCCCATAGGCTCGCGGGAGGTGGGGAGTCCAGGTGGCCCGAAGCCTCCGGGGTATCTGCACCAAGTCCTAGCCTGGGACTTACCAGGAGCGCAAAACACAGCCACTTGTTCATTGTGGTTCCCGGGAAACCTCAGGCGGCGGGCGCGGGCGGGCGGGCGGTAGCTGGGCCGGTACTAGGTGCGTCTCTGCAGTCAGGGCGTTCATGACGTTTTATATAAGGTCTGGGTAACAGGAAGTATGGGCTGTGGTCCATGTCTCTCCAGGACCAAATGTGTACCTTTCCTTTTTAGGAACAAGCACTGCGGGACGCCCCTGGGTTAACGCTTTCGGAGCTTGGGCTGGACCATCCTGTGGAGAGCTGGGGGCGTGGGACAGGGGGCGGGAACTTCTGACTTCTGCAAGGGGAAAAAAAAAGTAAAGAAAAAGAAAAGGCCACCGGGCTACGAAACAAGGAGGCAGCTGTCCTGCTGCCTCTGAGGTTTCCTAGCCTCTTCCTGCCAGCGGCCAGCCTCCTGGCAACTGGAACCAGCGGCGAGAGGCTGGCCACGCGCTGGGGGAACCTCTGGGCTGTGGGCCGTCCACCCTGATCTCCAACCATACCAGATCCTGACTAGAAGTGGGGTGCCCTAGACACTGACCCTTTTCTGGGAGAAAGTCAGTACTGTCCATTTGGGCCCCCTGTTGTCTGAACCCCTTCTCCGTGTGGGCCGGGCATTGTCCCCAGCACTATTGGGAAAGTTTACAGTCAGTAACGTGTTTCGTGGATCTGTGGAAAAGGACGCTTTTCCAAACTCGTGTTTGCCCCTGGAGTCAATGCATTTAGCCTCTCACTTCTGTTGTCTGATGTTGTCGAGAGCCAGGGAGAGTCAGCAAAACAACGTCTTACTGTCTGGAGCAGAAAACGCCTGCATGCCACTCTTTCCTTTCCCAGCATCATTTTCCCAGAAGGGTTGTTGGTACCGAGAGTCCTAACCACCAATCCAGTACCTCTATGGTTCAAGTTGCCTCTTTGCTGCCCCCTGCTGTTGGCACGTTTGAGGACTTGTACATAGGGTTCTTATCTAGCCCATCAACCCGCCCCCCCCAACTGCTTGTCTAGGTTAGAACTGTTTCCAAACTGAACTCACATTCCAAGGTGCAGCTCCTGGGTCAATTTTAGGTTGTCACACAAACTCCTTGTTACACATGCTTGAAAAAGTCCCTGCAGAACTGACTTACCCGTGGAGCTGTGTTAGTGACACATCTCCTGAGTGGGGACAAACTCTGCTGTCAACAGAAATCAGAACATTTATTCTTTATGGTAGGATGGCTGTCATCCTACCATGAGTTCAACGTAGACCAACTGAATGAAGAATTATTTTTTAAAATGCTAATTGGAAAAACAAAATTTCCACTTTAGATTCCAGGAGACAGGAGTAATATTCAGCTTTGTCTCCCAGTGCAAGAACGTACCAACATTCTGGTTTCCTCTCAGACACATACAGGACACATTTTATTTATAACTATATTGATTGTTGAAAGTTCAAAAGATCAGCTTAAAAATCAAGTTACCTATGTGTCATCCTGTGTACTATCACCATCACAAACAGCTTTTAGAACACTTGAATCTAGTAAAAATTAAGATGTTAAAGTACAAAATAAACATTTAAATTCAAAGGTTAACTAAAAAGCAAGAATGTAAACCACTTTAAAATTTTAAAACTAATTACTTGTCTAGATATAGTACCTAAAATAAAATAGAATTTGAAATCAATCTCTCAGGTTTTTACTTTTCTTAACATGTCTACTAGACAACTAAAGGTTGTACATATGACTAGCATTGTATTTATATTGATATTATTGAGATACAGTCACATATGTCAAATGTTGCTCATTCATGCCAATATAAACTGTAATTCTATCTCAATAATATTCAATGGAAATATAATGCTGATTATGCTGGTTTGGGAGTTGACATAGTGAGAACCCATCTGTGTATGAATACAAAGTTGTATGATTTCACACCAGACACTTGAGCGTTACTTTTGGCAGCTACAAAGTGAGATAGCAACATGTAGACACATGAGACCTGAGTAAATAAAATGAAAGCAGCCAGTCCCCATGTCCATAGCAGAGTTGTTATCTCTGTTCAGTGTCTGGGATCTTAGCTAAAAGCATTTTTCTCAAAATATAACATCATGCCAATAAATAGGAGTTGAATTTTGGAAAAAAACATCAAGAATTAAATCTTGAAGAACTGGTTCAGAAAAGACGTGTGTGTGTGTGTGTGTGTGTGTGTGTGTGTGTGTGTGTGTGCAAGTGCTGGGGTTATAGTTTTGTGCTACCATAGTCAGGCTTAAATTCTAGTTGTGATTGTTCTAGAGGAATAACAGATATGGATCTCTCAATCCAGACACCTAGTTTTGATTCCTAGTGCCAGTTCTTCCTAGTTGTGTGATTTCGGAACATTAATTTATTTGGGTTTCTTTATTTTGTAAAGAGGAATACTCAGTTGACAACATGGGATTACTAATGTGTTTATGGAGATTAAATTAGATAAAGTACTCAAAACACTCAAAAGAGTGTCTAGTACATAACGTTCACTAAGTTTTGTATGCGTGTACATGTGTGTACGGTGTGGGGGTGCTTTTTAGTTTTTGCTATTGTGACAGTCTTACATAGTTCAAGCTGTCTTGAATTTACTATGTAGGCATACCTAGCCTTGAACTCAGATTCTCTTTCCTCTACTTCCCTGCTGCTGGGATTACAGGTTTGTGCTATGACTTCTAGCTTTCTTTAAGTTTTCATTGTTATTCATTATTGCTACATGAGGTCCTTAGGACATGTGTATGAGCGCAAAGTGAATTTAAGCTCCTGAGGACAGGAACCCTGTCTTTCCTGTGGTATTCCCTGAAGCGTTCATTCTAGCCTTTGGCACACCTAAATTATTCAGCAAATTAGGAATTGTGGTGGCTTGAGGGAGTGGGATAATTAACTGAAATCTCGATGCTAATTTGGGTACCATTTGTCACTTGACACAAATTCTGGCATCATTTATTTTAGAATCACAAAATAGACTGGGTATTGACTATGTATCTTTGACTCTGACTGTAGGCCATTCATTAGTCACTCCCTATCAGGAAACTGACAGAGACCATGAGTTATTGGTCATTTCATTTGTTATGTTCCTGGGCCAATCTGACCAGTCCCCCTGGGATATTCCCAAGTGTTCTTCCACTGTGGATAACAGATCCTGAACACTGAAGCTACAGTTCATCTCAAGATTTAATTGGAATGGACCTCAAGATCTTCATTGAGTCCAAGGGGAGAAGTTTGAACAGTAACCTAGCAGACTACATTCATCTTCCTGTGACAGAGAGGTCCCTCATAGGCAGAGGCCATTGATGACAGCAATCAGAGCACTGTAAATTTAACCTCAGTTCCTGAGCACCAGGTATGTATGATGCCTTTCCAGGAGAGACGTCACCAGATATCCCACCTCTCTCTCTCTTGAGCTCCTTTAAATCAAGTTCCATATTAAAAACATTTTTACTGTCTGTATTTCTGATTATCCCCAGTAGCACTATCTGTCCCTCTACCTTCCCTAACGGCAACTTACAACACTTAGAAAAATGGTACCTGAACACTGGGCACTCCCACGGGGAAGCACTTTATCCTTTTACCACAGCAGCTCAGCACATGATGCAGAAAGTCATTTATAACCATCATCATAGTTGGAATAGCTTGAAACCCAGACAGCAATTGATTTAGGTGATATGAGAGAAAAGTCATGCTCTGGGGTGACAAGGGCTCTGAGGTGACTGATCTTGTGTTGAAGCGTCTTTACCTGAAAATCAGGAGTACTCATTTTGAAATTTCATATATGAAAGGATATACACTTGAAGAATAAGAATATATTCCTTTTTATTTCACTACTATCAGGAAGAACCTTTATTCTGAAACAAAGGGACAGAAAAAAAATCATAGTACCGATAGATCATTGATCATTTCATTCATGTTCGCTAGTGTCTTCATTAACAAACACAATTTTAATCATATCAGTATTCTAAGCTTCAGTTTCAGACTTTAGTAGACTATGTTAAGAATTGGATATATCAAAAGGTGACTTTGACTGAAGCCCTTTCTGGTGTAGTTTGCGGCCAAGTGCTCTAGGATCTACTTCAAAGTGCTGGGTTGTAGATCAGTACTTGCTAGCTGGGGTTCCCCATTCAAAAATGATGCAACTTGATGATTGTGTGACTTGTACATAAAAATAATGCTTTCCTTGAAAATGTAATTTAATCATACAGTCCAAGAAATACACAATCAGAACTAAGTGCCATGTGGAAAGAAAGAAATTGCAAAAGGTGTCTCTGACCTTGTGTGACTCCAAACCTGAGTTCTGAAAACTAAGCAGTGGAACAGGGAGAGCTGTTAGCAGGGAGGACAGCTCAACAGGATAGGAGGCAGCATACTATGCTGTGACATCAGGGAACTGGAAGGCCAAAGAGGCCAGTGGCTTGGGGAAGGACAAAGTATAATAGATTCTAGACTTTCTCCAAAGAACCATAAGGATCACCACAGGGTTTTAAAGCATGAAAGCATGCCTTAGTTCAGGCTTCTATACAAAGTACTACAGACTGAGAGGCTAATAAGCACCAAAAATCTATTTCTCATAGTTCTGGAGACTGGAAATTTGAGAGAGGATGCAATCAGACCGAATCTAGTGAGAGTCCTGCTCTGAGCTCTAGCCTGCTGACTAATCCTTGCATCCTCACATGACAGGCAAAGATTACCGAGCTAGATCTTTGGGTCTTTCTCATAAGGACACTAATCCCACTGATGTGGACTCCATTCTCATGACTTAATTATCTCCACAAAGTCCCATCTTTTTAATACTGTTCCATAGTGGGGGGACTTAAATTCAGCATATGAAATTGGGGGACATGACACTCAGTCTATGACAGTATGACATCATCAATATAGGTTCTGTATGGTATACTTTTCTAAACTTTATCTGCAAAAATTCTGAGAACAATTGATCCAAGTATAAACCTACAAAAGGAAGCACTATTTGTAATTATCTTTATTTTATGTGTATGAGTGTATTGTCTGCATGTATGTGGGTACACCCATGTCATGCAGTGCCCACTAAGGTCAGAAGCAGATGTCAGATATCCTGAAACTGGAGTTAGGACAGCTGTTAGCTGCCATGTAGGTGCTAGTGATCGAACCCAGGTCCTTTGCAAGAGCAACGAATGCTCTTAACTGCTG